TTGGTGTTAGAATATTATATTGTAACAAAGTAATTTTATTTAAACAAATAAAAATTATTAACCGAATATGTAAGTGAACACCTTAATTAACATTTCAATAAAAAAATTAGTTTTGTTAATTAACTAGCATTGTTTTTAACAAATGAAGCTGAAATGGCGTCATGAGGACGTTTGTAACAATAAGTAAAGGGGCGATTGTAACAGCTGAAAATAAATAATCTTATGTTTACAAACCATTACTTAACTCTTTAAGAACCACCAATAGTTTCCTATATTATTCATATTATGTTGCATGTGCATTATGTTATTTGTTCCCTTTCACAGCATAAATTAAAATTTTTAACCCCTTAAAGTTAAAAGTTTAACCCTTTAGGTCTCTGCTCATAATTATTTTTGCTATTTTTCCTCCTAAAATATCACTACTATTTTGATCAATAAAAAAATATATCACAACTATGATAATATGTATAATTGACTATGTTTTAGTTGAATTTATGAACTGTTACAATTGACCCAGTAAGTGGGGACAATTGTAACAACTGCACGACTGTCAAAAATTGTTAATAACTAATATAATAACATTTAAAATAAGGTATATATTTATTTTCTAGTAGAGGATAGTCTACTTTATTCGTCTGTCAATTAATACTAATAATATATTGGATTTTTGTTAGTTAAAAATAGTTAAGTAAAAAATGTTACAATTGACCCCACTCTCCCCTACTGTGGTCGATGCCAGACGGGTGCAGAATTCGTTTTGATTAGCCATCGCTGGGATTCACACCCGGCCACCATTACTACGAGGAAGATTGTGTTGCTGTTACATCTGAGAACACATGACAGCACTCACCACTAAAATTAATACACTTAACTTTGCTTAGAACATAGAAACAACTGATTAAGAATACTACACAACACCTACTACACATTACCTAATAGCAAGGCATTCAAATTTGCGCACACAGGCAAGCGTGTATTGTCTGTTATTTAGGGAGTCAGATGCCCAGCAATTGATCCAATCGCAGCAATTGATCTCACATTCATTTATGCAGATGCATTTACACGCCTCACAACATACCTTATGTTGTTTCGGCTGAATTAATAGCAAGACCAACTAAAAATTTGTATTTTAAGGAAAGAAAGTGTATTACAAGGAAAACTATCAATTTTGTAGAGTATTTCACGATGTAAAAACAGCTACTTAATAATTTAAAAAGCTCATAACATTGCTTAATAATTTAAAAAGCAATTATCATTGCGTACTACTGCAAAAATAACTCTATGAGACGCATTCAGGTGGAAAAATTGATCAAGGGAGACAAATATTGTGATAGATTGAGTGAGTGGTCACCATCTTGAATTTCGAGCTTCCAGTTCAAGGCTTGCGGGTGCCACCATCGAAATTTATTTTCAGTCCATCCGGATTAGTAAAATCACTCATTTGGCAGAATGTTACCCAAGATGCTTTTAACTGTCTCCTTTTGTGAAAAATGAACCGGAGTACTATTTTTTTTGGATACTATCAATTCGAAATATTTATTAAGATATTATCTACTGTTGTAATTTCATCTTTCTTATTCAAACTTCTAAGTCTTTCAACAACGAAAATTTTGAAAAGATGTTTTTTCCCCATTTGTACTTCAAAACCTATGTTTTTAAAGAAATGTATGTCTTTTATTATTATTTTTCTTTTTTTCATCTTGCAATTTTTTTTATCAGTAGAACTTTTTCCTAATTTTATTTTATATAACGGTTAAGCTTTCATATTACTATTTCGTGTGTGTAATGTTACATTTTACAAAAAATTTAGCATGAAATTTTTCCCACACATTTACTTATGAATAGTGAAAAATATATTTATATGGGACAAATAAATCAGTGACATGGGGAGAACTTATTATCACATTAAGTATTTTGTGCAGAAAATATTTGTACCCGTCACTAATTGTCATTCCAAGAATAGTGATGTAACAATTTTAGAATATATTTCAATGATTGTCAAAAATTGTTTATTAGCTAAGCAAAACTCAAAGACATTGCGTGAAAACAAAAATTAGATAATATAATTTTAACCATCACTCTTTATTTAAATAACTCGTATAAACTTGTAAAACCTTTCATAAATACCATATTATTTTTCAGCATGATCAAAAACCAAATATTCACAACGAAAACTTTAAGCTTTCTTTTTAAAAGAGAAAGGAAACCAAGACAGAATTATTAAGCATTTTAAAGAGTTAACTTTATCATATCAACATAAAACATTCCTTTTAATTTACGCTTCAGATAAATTGCACTGCTTAGCTTGCAAATATATATTTATTACATGCAATTTACTATACAATTATTTATAATCATTGCCATTAAATAAATAATTAATTCAAATAATATAATGCAATAATTTACAATATAATTATTTTAGACTTATTAAGCTAATTTTTTCCAATCTGCTAAAAACGAAAGAAGGAATGATCTGCAACTTCAATAATGATCACAGCGAGTTCTGTAATTCATTTTAAATAACAAATCCAGAGATGATCTTTATTTATAAACGTATTTTGACAGAGAAGTGTGATGGAATGATATAATTATCATTAATTAGGCCATTTATCTTGCAGAGTGGGGGAACTGTCACCGGGAGAACAGGTCTGGTTTGTGGTCAGAACACTTACATTTAAAGCATATTTAATGAGAAGGATATAATGGCGTGTTAGGACTTGATGGTAGCAAAATGCTTAATGATGCAAAGAATGGTGCGCCACAGATTTCATGATATTCAGACCTAAATCAATCACTCCATATTTAGACGGGCACTGTGTCACTTGTGTTAAGTTCCGCGTAAAGTAATGTAGCTCTAGTTCTTCAGATTTAACTTTAGTCCTAGTAAAAGCTAATAGAATAGTTTCTAATAACTATAATGTTAAAGCAATTAATTATTTGACATTAATTATTAATTATTGTAAAAGCAATTAATTATTTGACAATAAAATAACAGTTAATTCATTTTTACAAAGAGCAGGTGTATACATTTTCATTCTTCTCATTTTTCAATAAAAGTAACGGCTAAGAAGTATCTGTTTAAAATTTTATAAAGTTAATTTAGACAAATTCGCAATTTTTGCTTCATTGAAAATCAAATCTTTAATTTCTTTTTACACCATTATACGTTAAGGCTAAAGTAAAAAGCAGTAACGGGGGTGGGGAGGATGTGATTTTTATAAAACACAAGCATATTAGAAGGAATTCAGACTTACTTATTTTTGCTGACAAGGAGAGAAAGGGTCAAATATCACCAAAAAAAAAACATTCTTTCCTAACATTAGAGCAGCCTTTTTATGTATTATAAATTTTTGAATGAAGTATAATATGTTTGAAATATAGTAGTTAAGGCTTAAATTCTATTTTCGCTTACTGAAAAAGAATAAATGCTGTCAGCGAGAAGTTAGGATAGTCAGAATTAAATAGAAACATAAAATTGTAGTTTTTATATTAAATAAATAAAGCAAGAGAACTTAATATACACAATCAATTTATTTATAGGGCAGTAGCTAATTTTATTTCTTTTAACTAAATAGAAATTGTTCGCAACAGCTTTAAAAAAGCCTTTGTTAAAGATAAAATTATCTAGATTTCATAATCTTAAGAAAATTAATCCAATTAAATAAGTCAAATTAAGTGCAATAAAATTTTTTTTAAAAAACTGTAATTCAACAGAAGACGCAAGTTAGAGTTTACGGTTACCAATGTTCAACTGCATAGCCTTGTAATTTTGAACCCAATCCAGAAAACAGGAGAACTCCTGGATCAAGTATTGGGAGAAATTTGTCTTCGTGGAGGATCTTTTGATTGAACCAATCCGCATATGCGTCACATGGAGAGGAAAACCTCGAAGCCTCCCACGGCCAGCCTGACAACAAGGGGACTCTAACCCATGATTCGTCTACAAGTGAGAATATTTTTAGTCACTACTGTAGTTGGTGTGGCCCGGGTGCGGAATTCGTATCGATCAGCCATCTCTGGGATTTGAACCCGATCACTTCATTGAGGGGCAAGCACTCTATCCCCTGTGCCAACACAGCTCTTAACTTTATATTTTTATATAATTATCATAAAAGCTAACTAACTCTTAATTTTATGTAAAAAATAATTTGAGTAATTAAGATCAATTTTAAAGGACCAGAAAAAACGAATACATGCTTTACTTTGAGAGTCCGTTTGACTTTGAGATTCCACCAATAATAATCCCTTGTCGATGACTCCATATCGACCACAACTCTTTATATAATATAGGTTTCGTTTTCCTTTGATAAATTTTGACTCTCGACCAATCAGAATGCTGTAACTCAACGACCATCATCTGATTTCATCAGTTTATCAGTCTGATTGTAACGATCAATCAGAATGATTAACTAACTAAGTTAGATATAGGAACTTTAGCGTATATCAGTTCAGTATGTACTAGTAAAGTTTGTAGTGGTAATATTAAGAATCCGTTATCATTCTAGAGCTAGAATCGTACTGAAAACAATGTGATACAGGTTTATGAAATACTGATTCTGATAAAATATTGAATCTTATTTGATACTAGTTTGTTAACTCTTTCTTTAACAGCAAACATCGCTTGAAATTTTAGTCAGACACTTCATTGGCAAGTGAGATCTCAGACAGTCCAGATATCGAAGGCAAAAAGGAATCGTTATACTTTAGCTCTTTGTTTAAAGAGTTGTGGTTGATAAACGTTTAAAAGCAATTAGTTTTACGTTTCTAGTTGCTTATAATATTTTCTGAATTAATGTTTGCAGCTTGGCTACATGGCATCAGCTTGTTTGCAGCTTGGAGCTTGGCTACAAAGAAATTTTAACAAAGATTTCAGTATGATACTGAATTCGAAATGATATCGAAACCAGAGTCAAACTGTAAACGGTGTTTCATAAACCGGTATAATTTTCCCCCATCAAGAAATTCTGTCCAATACGTAATTTAATTATTAATTTCAGAAATAAGAAATGTGGTATTGTTTTATTTATATGTTTTTGTCTTTCTTTTACAAAAGGCATAACATGTCATACAATATTTAAACTTGGCACTTGTACATTTTGTTGATTTTTTCAATGTCAGATTTTGCCATCTTTGTTTTATAATTAGCATTTGTAAGAACCACGCCCTCTTGTAAGGGCACAATAGTATCGTTGCCATTTTTGGACCATGCCGTGCTTTCATAAATCATGATGGAGTCGTAATCAAATTGAGTGTACAAAACTTCCATTCGTTTTAATACTTTTTGAAAGTTATGTTGCTCATCTGAAAAAAAGAAGATATTATTAAACAAAAAAAAATTAATTTTCTACTGAATTTAGGGTATTAAAAATTTACTTCCTTACCAGATAAAATAGTGAGAACAGGGTACAATGATGTTTACAAAAGAAATCGATTTGTTAAAAATGAAGGTGAGTAGTTCAGTGCGTTCGAAAATCTTTCATCCGTGAAGCTCACAGCGAAAGCAGATAATTTTATTAATATTACTTCTATTTGTGTTAAACATTACAGCAGTTGGGTGGAATATACATGTGGCGTAATTATAAATTAATTTTCCTATAATTTTTTTTGAATAATGTTACCCTTTAATTCAGAGGAAAATTGGGGCTACTTAGCCCACCTTTCAATAACTCTCACAGAGTATCAAAATGCGATAGACTCAAGTACTGAATAAAATTCTGACCTTTTTGCCTGGGTGGAATATACATGTGGAGTAATTATAAGTTAATTTTCCTACATTTTTTTTGAATAATGTTACCCTTTGTTTCATAAGAAAATTGAGGCTACTTAGTCTACCTTTCAATAACTATCACAGAGTATCAAAATGCGATAGACTCAAGTACTGAATAAAATTTTGACTTTTCTGCCTGGGTGGAATATACATGTGGCGTAATTATAAGTTAATTTTCCCATATTATTTTTTGAATAATGTTACCCTTTGATTCATAAGAAAATTGGGACTACTTAGTCTACCTTTCAATAACTCTCACAGAGTATCAAAATGCGATAGACACAAGTACTGAATAAAATTCTGACCTTTCTGCCTGGGTGGAATATACATGTGGCGTAATTATAAATTAATTTTCCTATATTTTTTTGGATAATGTTACCCTTTGATTCATAAGAAAATTGGGGCTACTTAGCCCACCTTTTAATAACTCTCACAGAGTATCAAAATGCGATAGACTCAAGTACTGAATAAAATTCTGACCCTTCTGCTCATGTTCAATTAGTTCGTTCAGATGAAAAATGTAAGATTAAAAAGGAATAAAATATTAAATTTGATAAAAATTTCGTACTTATGAAATTTCTTGGGAAAAAGAACTTTTAAAGAATTACTTGGCAAAATTTTCAACATTTGTGTCGATGATTGATTGAATGATTATTTCATGTTCCTTATTTCATTTCATTTATTCATTATTTCATTTTCATTCACCAGCGTTTATCTAACCATCATTATTTCCAAAATTTTATCTCCAAGGAAATGACATGGCAAATTCTTTTTTGAAGTTCACGTCTTGTGACTTTTTTTAAACAGCGTAGAGGACAGTTGGCTAAATCGTACCACCTTCGATTTCAAAAGAGGTTTTGAGTAAAGAACGTTCTATCGGAAAAATCAGAAAGGTTTTATTCACATGGATATCTATGTCGAAGAGCCAAGTCACTTTGCACTTGCTCCCCTTAATTGCTCCTCGTATGCAGTCTATATCATACTACTCAAGTTCAACGTTTCAACTTTATCTACTAAACAGGTCTTTTTTTTAAACCTTTTAAGCTGTACAGCCCGTTAACTGTCTAAAAGAGACTGAGAATTATTTTTAGAATAACTTTCACAAAATACCCAAATTTCTAATTTAGTTAATGAGACTTATAATAAAACTACAGTATTCATAACTCAATTTAAAAGGATTTCACTATTTTGGTGCATCAATATTTTATCAAACTTACTATTTGGTAAAATTTTCAAACTATACGGGAATCAATTGGTGAGACGAGACTAATTCAATAAATTCAATGAGATTTATTATCTTTACGATGAAATTCAATCATTTTTTGTTCCCAGATGAGAGAAAGTGATGTGAAACATCTAAGGGATGAACCTTCTGGTAAGTCAAGTAATGATCTAGTAATTATTGGTTGGTAATTTGATTTGATAGACTGATTTGTCCCAGCACCATGAAACTAATTTCCCCATTTCTGAAAAGGAACCGTTGTTGTTGTTGTAGTTCATTTACGTCGCACTAGAGCTGCACAATGGGCTATTGACGACAGTCTGGGAAACATCCCTAAGGATGATCCGAAGACATGTCATCACAATTTTGATCCTCTGCAGAAGGGATGGCATCCCCGCTTCGGTAGCCCGACGACCTGCACGCGAAAGGTTGGTTATAGACTGCAAAAAGATGTAGTTTTAAGAGGATGTAGTCATAACGCGTGAGATACTTTTCATAGCAAATTATCTTTCACCTCCATAACTAATTTAAAATTTAAAGTACAGAAAAAAGTGAGTTCAGACAAACTTGGAGTAAACCATGACGTTTCACATACTGAAGAAAATTTTAAAATATCAAAATGAAAACAACTTACGAGAAGATAACCTAAGATTACGCAATGGGAAAGTTCTCCTCCAATAATTTATTTGCCTTTTGATATTTAGAAATTATTTTTTCAGAAATTGAAAATTCCTGGCTTACTCTAGGTTTGCCTGATCTCACATTTTCTTTCGTTTAAATTTTTAACTAGCAATGCAAATGAAAGACAATTTGAAAAGAAAGGTTTCTCCTGTAATATGATGTCCTCTTAGGAAGCAGTTCTTGTAAGAGTCAGGCTTTGTAGCAAGTAACATCATGTTCCATTAACAGTTTAGAGGCTTATAATACTGTTACTATGCGTGTAACAGTTAAAAAATGTAACATCTCATTTCTTATTATGGTATTAAACAATTTTATAGGTCTACTCTAAGTAATTGTAATTTGGTATGTACTCTAAGTTAATTGTAATTTGAAGAGTCTTACGATCTTTTACATTCTCCAAGTGGATCTTAACATAATCATCTCTGTCAGACCTGTTATGTTCGTGATAGAATCCAACTGCATGCATCAATTCATGCATTATTGTCCCTACACGATGGCATCCTTTTCCAAGAGATACGGGTTGTGGTTGTTGTTCGCGATACTGTTTTCCAACATAAGAGGTACATCTAAATAAAAAAAATTACAGGTTCAGAACCACATCTATTTAATGAATTGAAGGCTCAAGTTTCTTCTATCTCTGTTCATCAACGAGTTTGATAGCTTCTGCTTCATCGTTATTTATTAATTAAGAAGCAATATTTTTCGAGAAAGCAAAGAAAATTTTATTAAGGAAATGTATAAGTATCATAAATGCATCTAAAAATATTTCGTTGTTGTTGTTGTGGTTGGTTCTAATGCCACTGGCCAATACCAGCAAGCCTGAATGGTGAAACCAAGCAAATTTTAGTCAGAGAGTGCGTTTCATGTTCTTCAGTGGCTAATCTATGGCCAAGAGTACAACTTCAGACACACACACGTCGCAGACTGTTTATAGGACAGACCCGTACATACATCCATTCATTCATCTACAGATAGCAATTTTGACCTGAACCAGGGAACTATCAATCTCCAATGCAGTAATCCCAGAGGTATGATTTGTTAAGGAAACTTGGAATACTTTGTGACCAGGCAGATTTAATGTGCACCAGTCACCATTTACTACACGGGGAATCTGTGACCAGCGGGGATCGAACTAACGATCTCTTAGACATGGGTCGAATGCCTTACCAACCTCAGTATGTTAATCGTAATGAAATGATCAATAATCAGAATTGAAAAACAAGCAATTATTTTTGAAGAAAACCCCCCTCTGGAATACAGATTTTGTATTCTTATGTTTATTAGTTTAATTTGGAAAATCTCAATGGCAAAACAGAAACAAATTCACGCTGTTTCGTATTCGATTATAAACAATTTATTGACGATATCGAAAGTAAGCCAATACTATAAGCAAAAACAGTTTACGAATGGTGTGAATGCGCTAGATCTTGGTGCATTCATCTTACATTATTACATTGAGTTAAGAATTAAAGACACGCTTTAAAATATATACGAAAGCTTGATTTTGTGTTCACTTAATATAAAGTGTTTTTCCCCGCAATATTCTTGGTTCTTTAACGTCAAATTATGACACTTTTTTAAGAGGAAGCAAACTTTTTAAACTTTGTACGCATTGTTTGGTTTGTTAGGTGTATGTATATATATATATATATATATATATAT